TTAACCATAATTCATTTTTGTGTTCTGGCATACAAACTATTACAGGGTGCCAAAGATAGTTTTCCTCAGAAACAACAGTGCAGGAAAAAAAAAAAAAAAACCAAAACCACCCAACAATATGCTACTAAAGCTTGCAATAGGCTTGTTTAAGAATAATTAAATTCCTTCTTTCCAGCACATTTGGGGATTCTCCATGTACATTAACACCATGTCTAACTTTGCTGTAACAATAATTGTTCTATGCTATGGAAACATGTAAGGGATTAACTATTCTATGATCAAAAATGAATACAAAGATTTTTTTTTTTCATTAAACACAAACCTATTTTTGCCAGGCAGTGCTTTGCTGCTGAGGTTGAACCTTATAATTTAAACTGACCCTGACAATTAAAATTCAGACACTTGTGAATCTTTCATTTACACTTTATGGTGAAAAGGAAATAACTAGTGGAACAGTTGTTATTATCTCCAGATGTGGCTTTAAAACTGGTAGAAAATTTTGCTGCTCAGGCACAAGCTGAGATCAGACTTACAAGTTTGACAGTTATAAAGAGATATAGGTGCACGAAAGCAGCTGACCCAGAAGCAGGTTTTAGGAATGCTGTTGCTGTCCTTAGGGACAGAGCACATCAACCAGATAGCCAGGACAGTGTTTTAAGGGTATTTGCTTGTTTCATTTGTATTTGCTACTTTTTCAGAATACGGGAGCAACTGACAAAAAAAAAAAAAAAAAAAAAAAAAAAAAAAAGAAAAGGAAAGACATCTGTTACCAGCTTCAATGTCAAAAATCCCTTGCTATAAAATTAGTTTCCTGAGACTGAAGAACATGTTGCTACTGCTGTTATTAATATTTGCATAGCTGTCAGAAGCCCAAACTTTATGACTGCTTACTACTTCAGGGACCACTGACCATTATTTGAGGTGCTGGCTACAGTCTGAGTTACTGCTTTTCAATAAATGTTACAGCTTTCAAATTCCATTACCAGTGGAGTCTGAATTACATCTACTCTCAAAATAAAATAAAAATGAGTAGTAACAAGTTATAGGGTTTTGCCACATATTCTGTTCAGAAATCTAGCCTATTTAAGCTTTCTCTCATGGAGTTCTATTTAACAGATATAAAAGACACGGTACACCAAAAGGGTTGGGACTGTCAAAGACAAACATAGGGATGGTAAGCCTGGATGATAAATCATGTTCTATTACTTCGACACTTGAACCCTCTAATAACAAAGACACTTTATACAGACTTCCTCTGAAAAGATGCATAAACTACTGTTGCCTATGAAAGCCTGGAACAGCTAAGCTTAAAGGTCTGTACTCATCCTAGCTTTCCAGTCAACTCTGCATTACAGGAAATGGAAAAAAAATGCGGTATAAACTCTTCCAATAATTCAACAGGAAGATATCCAATATTTGTGTGCCAGCATATAAGTACTACATACTTCTGAGAAAAACTGGTAGCTGTCCACGTTACACCCAATAACAGGTCTATTTGTGGAAACAGCCCTAAGCTGTCCTATAACACCATCTTTCTAACGACCCCTTATGCAACTGTGTCACATTTCTTTGATGTCAAGGAAGAAAAGATCTTATAGCTAAACAAAATGCTTCTAGCACCAGTAAATTTAAATGTGTTTTTCCCCAGGAGTTGCAGAGCTCTGACTGACTGAGCGCCCAGCTGTGTGCCCGTAGCCATTATGGACAGAAGAAGGGTGCTGACTAATGGGAACCTAGAGTACAATTTTATAAAGAGAGCAGGACTTCATCTGAAACAACATTTCCTACACAGTTTCTGTGATTGGCAAGTAATTCACTGCTATCCAGTGCTGAAGAACTTGTACTCTGAGGTCCTTAGGCTCACCAGTGACAAAAATAAAATGGGCCATTGGGTAGTTGCTGGTAAAGAATTATCACAAACCAGCACATCTTCAGGAAATTGTTGTACGGACACAACCATCACATATTCTTTTTTTCAAAGTCAGGCAATTATATTGCAAAAGAAGATATTTTGTGTTAGAATCACCAGGGATTTATTAAGATTTAGGAAAAAAACCTCCAAGCTTGCTGAATAGGTAACGTGCATAATAAAAGTACTGGAGGAAGCAACTGTGAGCCATTGATCCAAATAATCACCTGCTGGGATGTACAGTTTTTCCTTGTACTCATGAAAATCTTGAAGAGAATTGAATGCAAAAATAGAGATAATATAGGTGACTTTGACAGAAAATGAAACTGTCTTGTATAACGAGTGCTGTTCCTTCTCCAACAGAAACCAAAATGGTAAGAGCAGTAACTCCAACACCAACAGCCAAACCTTCGCAATGAAAGACACAAGTAATCTTAGCTCCAGTGTCAGCATAACAGGAGGCATAAAAGGAGAGTGGTGAAACGCATATCAACACCACAACTTGAAAAATCAGTCACAAGGGAATTAAGGTCACTATTTCTGCTTCCTTGGGAAGTCATTCTTTATACAATCTATTCTTGACAGGCGACAATGAATAATGTAAATAAAGGAGACTGGTACTCTGATTGTATTTGAAAATGCTAGATATGCTGAAGTGAGTATTTAGTCCTCTACAAAAGTATTGTGTAAAAGGCATGTGCCAAATTTCACGTTGCTATCTTACTTATTCCAATGAACAAGTATCTCTCAAGGAAGCCACAGTTATTTCCTCAGCTTTAACTTTAAGGATTTAAGGATTAAATGAAACCTTCAGTGCTGAGTTGATATAGACTACCACTACATTTTTACCCAATACAATCTGACCAATGCAGCATGACAGTATTAGTGGAAAGGACTCCAGTGCAAATAGTTTGGTGTCTAAGACCATTTATGCATAGGCCAACTTCCATGACATCCAAAGCCCTGCACTGGAACACGGAGCTATCTAATCACCACAGAAAGGCAAAGGTGGCAAATTCAGGAAACTAATTTCTTGACCATTTGCAAATTAATTCAGACACCATCTAGAAGAGTTCCCCATTCTGAACCAGAACTCGAATCCATCATCAGTATCTTGACTCTCCCAAAGAGTCCTTTCATCAGTATAACAGTACATCATTTTTGTAAAAATTATCATCCTTCAAATGCTAATACAGTACTTGACTGCTGTCAACCACTTTTGCATATTGTGAAGGTGAAATCTGGTATACTAAGAGATGTAGAGGATCATAAATATTGGAACTGTGAGCCCATTTAATAGTGGCCTTGGAAACTTCAGCTCCTGCGTAGGGATGAACCATGACTTCCCTCTCTTAACCTGAAGTCATAGGAAGGCTCATATAGTTTTAAAATGTCTATTATATACTGAATTGTAAAGTTAACAGATAAAACTAAACTTGTTTTCTCTGAAAAGCTCCCTACTCCATTTACCATTTGAAGATCTTATCTACTGCTAGAGCACCAAACATAAGAAATCTATAAGGGTAATGTGAACTTCAGATATTTCCTTGGAAAAGAACAATCAAAAAAAGTTGAGCACTAAATAATAGTCTTGTTGATTTAGGAATGCAAATACAAAGGACATTAACATCCTGAAACAGTTTCCATAATTGCACCTTAGCATTCCTTTTTGCACTGAATAAAATTGGAGTGACTGAATTTCTAGATGGAAGAAGATTTTTATGAAAAATTAGCAGGACGGGAAAAGAATGCAATACTCAAGCATCATAATCTCAGAGACAGAACTATCTGGACTGATGAACTTCAATATGCCTCAAAAATAAGTACAAAAAAAAAATCTGTGCAACTGTGGGAGAGAAGGAAGTCTGATTAAAAAAAAAAAAAAAAAAGAAGGGATGTAACCACTGATAAGGGATTTCCTTTATCCTGCATCAAAACATGTTGCCATTAAGGTGTTATGCTGCAGTGGAAACAGCACAAGGAGCTGCAATCTGCCAACACCTGACAAAGAGTTGTACACCTTAGGAATACATCACCTTAATAACATTTGTCTTACGATGATGATATAGGCACCTTCCAGTCTTAAAGGTGAAAGGAGTGTGTAATGCTATTACAGCTTATATTGCTCCATGGGTTTGTTTAAGAAGGCTATTTAGCAATTGAAGTTGTTCTGTCCTTAGAAAGTGGGATTGTTGAGTGTAAAAAATATCCCTAATATGAAGAGTAAAAGAAAGCAGCTAACCTTCAGGGCTTTCTTTATATAAAATAGTACATACATAAATGTTAATAAGTTCCACAAAATCATCCTTCAACACCAACACGTTTGCAGTTAAGGTTCATGTAGGAATTCACGAGGAATTATGAAATTTTGGTCATCCAAAAGTTGTTATGGTCAGCTAAACAGATAATAGCCTTTCCTCTACTAATTTACATTCCACTTCAATAAAAACTCATGTTGGTCATCCACATAAAGAGCTCCTTCATTGGTGCAGGGGACACAGTATTTACGAATGCAGCTATAGTAACGATGACCATAAATATTACTGAAACTTCGGGGGCTTGTGGGGGGAACCAACCATCATTGCATTGATTTTTTTTTTTTAAGCCTGCCACTGTACAGTATCTCACTATTCTAGAAAATACTCAGTGAAATTGATTCCAATGAAGTCAAACAAGAATATAAATTCTAACCAAATATACTTAGTGTTAACTGAAATTTGTAATATCATACTATGATGTAGACATTCAACCTTTAAGAAAATCAGAGGCTAAGAAAGTTTATGATTAATGAAAGATTACACACAAATATCTAGCTACATACATATTTGTATACACTCTTTTATGCACATATATAAATGCTTAGGCTATATCACAAATAAACATTTATGTTCAATAATTTTAACTTCAGATTTTAAAATCAATGGTCTGAAGTCTGAATCACTATGGAAAGCACAAGCATCATAATATAATTCTTAAACACAGAAAACAGAGCATGCAAATAATACTATTTGTATACTTTCTATATGATTGAAAAAAATAAATTTAATGTAAAGCTAAGACATCTTTATAAGCACAAAACAGTCATACTAACCTGTATTTTGATTGGCCAGGAGAAATTGCTGACATAGACATAGAAAGTGATGTTTGGGTTGCTCCGAAAGTTAAACTTTTCACAGGAAAAGCTATCTCTGTATTCCTTAATATTCACCTTAGAAACAACAGGAATCTCTTCTCCAGATATTGTTCCAGCTAAAAAAAAAAACAACCCACATATGTAGATATATATTTATGCCAAAGTAAATTTGCACAAGAAACTTAAATTCCTAAGTTACTTTTGATGTCTTCATTCTACAACTTTAATAACCCTTTATTATGGTTTACGTGGCATGTCAGGTATATTTCCTGTGAATTCCCTGTATGTACAGAAAATCTTACTCTGGTTACAGAAGATTATGAATGAATCATAAAATTGATAGAAGGTACATGAATTTTAGAAGAAAGTTATTGTGGTCAGCTAAACAGATAATATGCTTTCATCTACTAATTATACATTCCATTTCAATAAAAACTCATAGGTTAATAAAGTGTGAAAGTGAATTTGTCTACCTCTTACATTACTGTTGTAGAGTTTTAATTGTTCATGAAAGCTTTAATAACATACCTACTAATAAATATGTATCTTTTTTTTGCAAATATATGGGTGACTGTGCTAAGTTAAAATAACGGGATAGAATTTACTAACTAATGTATGTTAAAATACTTCAGAATTATATTGATGAAGAAATTCTTGAGTTTATGTAAGACAAACTGAACTTCCTCTAAAAAGATTTTTTTTCTTTATTTTAGTACAATTTCATTTTAAGCATCATGCTTCTCCTTGGATGTGTTTTCAGAAAGTCAATAGAACCAATTCAGAGAAACAGTCTAAATAAAGCTTTTCTTCCTTCTTATTAAAACAAAGAAGAGTAATGGGGTTCAAAGTTGGAGAAAAATAGATAAGCAGCTCCTTATATCAGCATACACAGAAGAACTTTATTGTTTGATATCAATGTTAAGGTTAATAATTAAATTTTTAGCTTGAACACTGAAACAAAGAAATTAAAATCTCAGTCTCTGCAGTAGTTAAGAAAGCAATTTATCTTAATTAAAATCACAGCATTTCATAACACTGTCATTTTAAAAATTTAAATAGACTACAAGCTTTTCCTACTAAAGTAATTTTAATTGAATAGGAGAGAAAGTTAACATATAAATGAAGCTTCGTTCAGATTGAAAATTATCATCTGAGGTTTAAATAATATAATTAATAATGGCATAATGATAATGGCAAAAACCCCCACATTTGGTAAAGTTTTGTTATCAAAATTAGCAACAAAGAGACAATCAGGTTAAAATAGCTTAAAGGATCATGAAATCATATGGGAAAAAGTCATCATACCAAAATTCACCCTCACCTGTAGAACCAATAGACCATGTAATATTGAGGTTGAAGTTGTTTGATGCGTTAATTGATATATCCAAATTTTTATTTGACTGCATAAAAAAAAAAAAGAAAATATATTGAAGTTAACAAAATATATGAGAATGAATTGAATATACCTCTATCGCACATAACTGAATATAGCATTGAAATCATCTTTTGGTTTTCATTTTAAGCATAAATAGAAATGGTAATAATTAAGAACCAAAGGCAATACTCACTTATGCTTCAGTAAGTACAGGGTACAAGTAAGCACATAACTAAACCAGTTATCTTTTCGGACTTACACAAAAATAATGAAATAATTTGCTTTATAAAACTAAAGAAAAAATATATGGCAAATGGCTAAATTACAATTCAAAGATTACTTTTCTCATCTGCTAATAAGATATCTTAACTTAAGAGTATACTCCTCTAATTCATCTCAGGAAGATACTAAAACTTGTTATCCATGGGAACAACAATAAAATAAACCAACTGATGATTTTTTTGAGTACTAGTTCATCTGAAGTACATCTACCATTTAGAAAGTTTTTTCAATGAATGCATTGGAATAATTTTCAGTTTTCAAAAAGATTTGAAATATCTTAATACCTTATAGGCACTTGTCAAATCTTTAGTCATGGTCAAATACAATGGAAATCTTCATCATGAGTCTCCAAAACTGGTCTGAAGTTAATAACATTTTCTTACCTGTTCCGGATTTGCTATAAAGTTTATGGCAGTGTGATGGCGATCATCCTCTTGTAATAAGCTGAAGGTAAACTGGTAGTCAATCAAAAGGCTGTCTGTGGGTAAAACACAAATTAAAAAGAAAATAGATTCAAGTGTATACATATAAATAATGTATATGCAAGCACCTAAAAATGTTTATTTTAAAAAGCATGGAGTAATCTACAAATTGGAATTATTCACATGCATTTCACTGTTTCAGTATTTGCACTATAATGTCTTGAAGCAATAAAAAAAAATTAGGTAAAGTAGTAACAAAAAAAAAATTAAGAAAAATAACAAAATTAAGAAACAGATTCGATTATGGAGTCAGAGCAGCTATTACACATAAGTTGAAATCATAGAATCCTAGAATGGTTTGGGTTGGAAGAGATCTTAGAGATCATCTATTTCCAGCCCCCCTGCCATGGGCAGGGACACCCTCCACTAGACCATGTTGCCCAAAGCCCCATCCAACGTGACCTTGAACACTTCCAGGGATGGGGCATCCACAGCTTCTCTGGGCAACCTGTTCCAGAGCCTCACCACCCTCATAGTAAAGAATTTCTTCCTAATATCTCATCTAAATCTCCCCTCTTTCAGTTTAAAGCCATTACCCTTGTCCTATCACTACATGCCCTTGTAAACAGTCCCTCTCCAGCTTTCTTTGTAAAGTAATTATTCCAAAATACAGTATAAAGCATTGTTAGAATGTTATCAGTTCCCTAATTTTACTCTGAAATAATTATTCAAATATTCTGTTCAAAATGCATTTAAATATTTTTAGTTTACAGTCATATGCTTTACTGTGTTATATAAATGGTTTACATATCTACATTACTATAACATGTTTTAGAATTACTAGGTTTGAAGTTTTGGAAAAAACGTTGCACCTGCAGTAAAATTATATGATATGAAGGCATGATATTACGGTAAATAAGATTGCTAATAATAAAATGACATATGAAGGCATGATATTACGGTAAATAAGATGATTGCTAATAATAAAATGAAATAGTGGAATTTTGAATAGAAATTATGTGACCACCAAGCACATCCTTTCTGAATTGCCAAAACTCTAAGAGATTTTCTAAGTGGCAAGTGATATAAACTTTTCATACAGGAGAAAAAAGTGGCAGTGTAGTATTGACTCAAAAAGATTATATTTCACTTCCCAATGGCATTTATTCTACACATTTTTCTTCGAACCTGTGAAAGAAATGGAGTCTGCCAGGCAGGCCCTATGCACGCCATTCCTGTCACCGCACACTAACAGCACTGCCCTGATGGCCAGCTAAAGTTGGCATAGGTGCAGAAGGGAGAAAGGGCCATCCTCAGATGACCCAAACCATGCTTAACCCTTCCTGGAAGGGGCATAAAATCATGGGGAAAGTCAGAAGACGTAAGTTTTGAGCTATCCCATTGTGCTCCTGAAGTTAGAGGAATGAGATTAACCCTTAGTTGGGTCATAGCACTAGGAGTGACCGAAAAGGAACTTTCCTGAAGGGGGAAGGGGTGGGGGTGGATTTATCAGGGTGAAGCAGGTTTCTAGCACCTCATGTAAGAAAAAGACCCAGTCACCAGGGATGATTGTTGCTGCAATACATAGAGGGTGGAATGTAGAATTCCAGCAGGGAATGTTCAGTGCAGTCAGATAGTCAAGAATCAGCAGAGCCCTCAGAGACGTAAATTTTGTTAGCAGATTAATAGTCCTTGTGCAACAGTCAGTTGTGAACCAGAGGTGGATGTGGTGGATGGACCTTGAATGCTCTGTTACAGGGGCAGATATCTTCAGATCTAACAGAATAAATTGTCTCTTTCACCATTATCGTTCCATGGGGATGAAAGGATTCTGTCACAGGAAATAAGGAGGTGCCTTGTAAATGTACGTGATTCAGATGATTATTTTGTGCACATTAAAATATGGTTAGGTGCAAGTCATCTTTGATGCTACATCCTAGTGAATAACTTTGATGCCCTATTTTGGTCCCTCTCTTGATGACATTCTACTAGTCACCAACACCACACAAGCAGTGTGTTGCAAATAAAAAAATATGTGATCATAAAAACAAAATCAGTAAATACAAAGAGAGTGAAAGATTAAGTCAAAGCAGGAAAAAGCTGTGTCAGCCTTTTATTGGACTCAATAGTTTGCTTACTGCTGACAATCACCTTTTCTGCAGCAACACATCATCTGAAAAAATACACTCTATTGTATCCCATGGGAAGCCTGACAAAGAAGAAGAAAAAAGCTTACTAGTCAGTGAAGCACGAATACAACCCACTGTATTGTCTTAAGAGTTAAAGAAAATGGTTTGGTTTTTTTTTTTGTGTGTGGTTTTTTTTTGTTTTTTTGTTTTTTTGTTTTTTTTTTTTTTTACATTGAGTGTGGAAAGAAAATTAGAAAATAAAGGAGTTACATGAAAGGAATTACCACGACCTTCAAAGCTGAAAAGTCTACCGTCTTTATTATTAGCTACCACAGTTCCATTATTCAAATAAGAATAAGTTGATCTAGATGTCTTAGATAACGAGTTTTGATCAGGTTTTTGCAAGCTTATGAAGGCAAAAGATGAATAAATATTAAAATAAAAGACCCCATTTATTAATACTACTCTAGTCTTCTGTAACTATGCAAATCTAATTAATAAAGTCTCATTGACTCTATTAGTAACAGTGTGCTATATCTACATATTTAACAGTAAGATTACCATTGCACCAGAACATCTTTAAAGGTAGCAGGACAGCAAAAGATGGCAAGCAGAGATTGACCCCTATTAAAGGAATTAATAAACCCTTTAATAATCATGAGTAGCAAGGCCAAAAGGCTAGGAATAATGTATAGATATGCTAAACCTCCTGATCTGGTCAACTTCAAATGCCATGAAAAACAAATTAGTGCTGTAGAATGAATCTTTGTAGAGTTATCGTAAATGCATGGTGGACAAGCACCACAACATGTACTCCAACGGAAATTCTGGCTACTGCAAAGGCTACAAGATGCAAAAATTTGTCCAGAAGGACAAGATATTGTTGATTTGCTCACAATATATGGAAAACGACTATTTAAAAATGCCATTGTCTTCTTCTAAGACCAGATTGTGTCCTCTCAGCTACGCAGAGTATCAGCCAAAGACCAGCAGTGATATATAGTTAAGATCTCATCATAAGACAAATTCAGGCATAGACACAGGACTCTTGTCTCCCAATCATGAATGAACACTTTTCTGCACACAAGTTTAAGAAAATTTCAGAGTAATTTATTATTAAAATAATATGGCTAGTTTATTCCTAGGGTTTATTGTTGTTGCTGTTGTTTTGTTGTTGTTTGTTTTCTGATTGTTTTGGGGGTTTTTAATTTATGTTTTACTTGCTAAAAGCCAAGAAAATAGGAACTTGTTTTTCAAGGAATGCAGGAAAAGTCCTTACATTGATAAAAGATGTTTAACTATACAGTTCCTCATAACTTTACCATCTGTAACAAATCAGAAAAATAGTGCCACTTTTTTACTGCATTTTTACCTACAATACAGTTGAAACAGTAAATCATGAAAAACAGTAAGAGTTGATTATGTACAGCATAATCTTTTATATTCAAGATATCCTAAAGTATTTTATGGTGTTATTAAGTAGTAATCACTCCATTAATAGTATCGAAGATATATCGAAGATACATCCCACACAGTAGCCATTGTCTCCTCTGCAGTACTCAAAGAGCCTTGAACAACACACCTTGTGTTATTCAAGAGTTCTGAGAGTCAACACATGGAACTTGCCCTGGGGTTCTTCAAAGGTGCCAAAAGACCTTTACCTTATGCCAAGCCAGCCCTAAAAAATGGGAAGAGATGATCTTCACTATCTATTCAGAAGCACATTTCTTAGCACTAACAAACACAACTTATGAAGTTTTTATTCCAGAGAGACCTGCAGTAGAGAGAGGGACAAACCATTAAATCTCTATCTTGGCCTCAGACTAGATGCTGCGAAGCAGAAATACATATCTCTTCATAGACAACTCTAATTCAGGGAACATACCATAAGTGCGTATGACTTGACTTGAATGAAGAGGAGAGCACTGCCTAATGCAGTCATATGATTCAACAGTGCAAATGAAGGCAGGTGCAAACGAAAGAGATAACACCGAGCTTCCCATCTTCCTGAGGACTGCAAAAGCACGCTGAAGTTTCACAGTTTGGAGGAAGGTTCATTTTCATACTCAGGATACTTTCTGGTCGGCCAAAACTTGCACATCCCAAATCCCTGGAAGGCTCTAAAGCTAGATTTTATTAAAACTAATTTAAGAGGAAATTCAAAGTGACAGTAGAAATTAAAAGGGATTGTGAAGAAGTCTCTTCTCTTTCTATTGCGTCCTGCTGCTGTCTGTCTCGCTCTCCTTCCTCCCTCTCTCCATCTGTTCCATCCTATACCTTAGGAGACTCTTCCCCCACATGTATTCAGCAGCTCTCAAGGAAAATATCACCGCCCTCCCCTCCAGAAGGCTTCACCTTCTACAGACTGCAGCAGGCAGAACAGCTTTCCTTCCCACTGCCAAGCCCCATCCTGAACATAACCCTAAAACATAATCTATGCCAATAGATCGTAAGTGCACATAAACAAACTAAGCAGTTACACAGTACATCACACCATATTTCCGAATTCATAGTGCCATTCAGCCTAGACAGCTTAGCCTACAAATAAATACAAAATTTAAAGTAAAATTTAGTTGTAAGAGTACAACCTGCTCTGAATAGTTAAATGTATAAATAGCCAAAGATATAACACCTAAATGGAGAAATAGCTATTTAAAGTACATTCAGTATATCCTGTTGATATATATTGTTGTGTATGTTTATAATCATGAATTTAGAGAAGCCTCCATGCATTTTTGTTTCTACTTTAAACCTCTGAAAAGCCACCATAAGTATTTTTACCCTTTACATAAACACGAGACATTTCATAAGTGCTTATGTTTATAAAGGCACACGCAGAACAGATTGCTTCAATTAGGAAAGAAATTTGGATCGCATATAAACAGAAACTAAAAAAATTCTCACTGCATTTATATCGTAGCATAGGA